CACGCTATCATCCATTTTCAGAACCAAAACCTGCTAAAAGTTTTGATTTTAATCCACAAATGAGAAAAGCACTAAAAGTAAAGAGGATGTGAAGGGAGAAACCGATCAGCGCCTCTTTTAATCAAATAGTGGAGCTGATGGAACATGCTTTCACTGATGATCTCCTGCATTTCAGCAGAAATCTTTTCACGTCACACATCATCCCGAGGAAAACACTCACCTCCAGACTTTTCCCTTTCTCTCCATCTCCCTCCGGCTCAAAGCCACACTTATTTTTACGCCTATTCTTGCGTTTCTGCCTCTTTTTCTCCTGTCGGAGCTCCTTGGCACGCTCCTCCTCTGAAAGCTCCTCACAGAGCTGCTGCAAGCGGCTGATGCCCTGAGCCTGCTCCACTGCCATCTGCAGAGCGAAACACAACCATTTTGAGAAAAAGACTAACAGTTATCTCTTGGAGGGAAAAAAAAAATCATGTTTGCATATTTAAAACATTATTTTAAAGCTTTATTAGCCAGTAGATGTCAAAAACTACTAATAACATTATATGTTGCTACTAGGGGTGTAACGGTTCACGGTATGTATTGAACCGTTTCGGTACGGCCTGTTCGGTTCGGGACACTTCCGTTTCGGTATTTGTATTAAATAATATAAATGTATTATTAGCGCGATATTAAGCGCAGCGGAACCATGTTCCTAGGCGAGTTTCCGCACGGACGCTATTGAGGGACGTGCAGCTCTACTGTGCGACACTCAATAGCGTCCGTACGGAAAATCGCCTTTGGCTTCGCTGTTAAAATACATAACGGGGATAGACGAGTGGATAAATTTAAAGTTGTATGCCGACATTGTTCCACGGAGATCGGGCAGGCAACACATCTAACATTTTCTACTGCTGGAGATATTGTCACTGCAACCAGATCTGTGCTCTCTTCAGAAAATGTGGATAGGTTAATCTTTTAGCCAAAAACTTAAAACTTGAATAGTTAGTTTTGTTGATATATAAGCTGAAGCTGTTGCTAGTGTTAAAAGTTTTCAGGTCCTAACTAGTTGCAGTATTTCATTTTTTATTTAATAAAATGTGTTTTTCTTTATAAAGAGTGCAATTTATTTAAAATATCACCCAAATGTGTCACTTTTATTTATTTTATGCAAGAATTCTATTGTGTATTGGCAGCTTTTCAAAATAAAGATTATGTAAGTTTTAATTTTTTGTACCGAACCGAATTAACCGAACCGAACTCTCCAAGACACTGTACCGAACCGAATACAATTTTAGTGTACCGTTACACCCCTAGTTGCTACTATAACACGAACAGACAACTCAGTGTAAGTAGCATGCTAGTAGCTTGATTGAGCAGATCATGTTGCCTGCTTGGATTAGCATCTCGATAACATGCATTAAATTCTGTTTAAGACACTTCATACACCATCACTAACATGCATCTTGCATGGTTTGCCATCTTTTTAGCATCGTAGCTGAATTAAGCCTCATTTTCGTCACTTTATGGCAACAAACTGCCATAATGAAATGGACTGTACACTAGCATGTTGATAGCAATTGTCATTGTTGGTAGCTTTACTTAGCAAGGCGTGTAGCTAGGTTGAAATTGCACATTGCTAATAATAGTATCTCATAACCAAGTGCATGTTCTCCCCGTCCGGGTTTCCTCCAGTTTCCCCCACAATGATTAGGTTAATGGAATAATCTAAATTCCCTTTAGGTGTGGATGTGTGAGTGTGTGTTCCCCTGAGATAGACTGGCGACCGGTCCAGGGTGTACCCCTGACTCTCACCCAAAGTATGCTGGAGACAGGCACCGGCAGAACCTGTGACCCCAAAAAGGGAATAAGAGGGTAATGACAAGAAGTAGACATGGGATGTCATCAGTTTGTTGCCGGAATGTATTAGCATTTTGAAAAGATGCTAGCACGATGCTTTATAACATCTGTTTCCACAAGCTTTACGTGGAACACCTGAAACACTCAAGGTTGGAAATCTCAGCTGAACCATTATTTCACAAGACCCTCTGTAAAATATTTGCAGATCATCAAGGTAATGTTACCTCGAAGCTCTTACGCAGGGCATCGATGCCCAGGTAGAAGAGCATCTGCCACGTCTGCTCCTCTGCTCGCAGCTTCTGCCAGATTTTGTGCAGTCGTTCATACAGGTGGATCCCTAAACACGTCAGCACCTCCTCCTGGGCGACGTCTAAGGTCTTTGCATGCTTCTCTCGCCGCCTGCAATTCATCAAAATGTACATTTAAGGGGCAGTCACTTTAAGCAATTTGAACCAATCAAAAAGCACAGATCTGCCTTATACAACTATTGGATCTCAGCCATCGCAGCAGCGTGCTTGCGGTCATTGTCCTGCTAAAAGATGAACAGCCACCCCGAAGTTAAGTGCCCCGGAGTACAGTTTCCACCAGGACGTCTCTGTACATTGCTACTATATCTTTTAAAGAATAGTCTCCAGTTCCTGCAGCTAAAGAACCTCCCCACAGCATGATGCTGCCACCTCCATGCTTAACCTCAGGGATGATCAACCTTTAGCTAAAATGACAAAATGCCTCAAAAGCCTGCAAATACCAGGACTTAGCATCTCATCTAGATTCGTTTCATGTAATCAAAACAATAAAAGAAGAAAGTATTCAAATCTCATTAGCATGATTTAACAAACAATTAGCTTAAAAAAACACATTTGACAGTAACATGTTACTTCAAACACGTACATTGTAAATTGGATGTTATTAACCCTTTAGCATGTTGTACCCTTGCTAAAAGCGTCAAACAACATGCTGGTAACATATTAGCATCGCTAGCTAGCATAATAGGCCTGTTGATAATTAAAACGTTTTGCTCAAGCGACTCACTCGTAGCCCCCGGCAAACTCTGGCTCTGCTCGGCTCAGTAAGTGAGCGATGTAGTCGGTTTCGCAGCAGACGTGGATGTGGTGCTCTTGAGGACAGCAGCGCAACCCTTCGTACAGCGCCACGCAGTAGCCCTTCTCCGTACTGCCGTCCAAATCCCCCACCAGGATGTTAAATGCCATGCAAACCTTTTCCCTGCAGTCGGTGCAAAAGCTGAAGAGGAGAATAAAATGGTGCATAAAGGAACAAAGAGGTTTTAAAGGGTTAACGTTTAAATGTTTACCGGTGTTTATGCAAGTACGTCTCCAGAGTCTCCAGCAGTGAGGCGTTGTCAATCAGAACTACTTCATTACGACAGCCCTGCGACATCAGCTCCCATAAGTCCATCCAGCTGCCTCTGCATAACAGGAACCATGTTTACCAAACCACACTCTTCATTCAAATTAATGGACTGCTTGCACTGAGCCTCCTTTCTGAAATTATACATGACGCTTATTTCTGGTCGTACCACAATCCAAACAAGGGTTTACATTTCAGAGACAGCAGAGAACCCTGCTGCGTTTGTGCACAAGTGGTCCATTAGAACAGCATTTAATCTCCCAATAAAATAATCCTCTCAAATTGATTCAGAGTGAGGATTCCTCTTCCTGAAGTGCTCCAACACTGGCCTCTACTCGCTCATAGAAGTAGCTCCTGGCTCACCCTAAAGGCCTCGGCTTGTGCGTGTCTAGCGAGTGCAGCTGACAGCGTTTGTTCTTTTTACTCTTCGGGATGGAGTCGATCACGCCGTTGAGTTTAGAGCTGTAAAAGAGGAGCAAGGACCCGTTAGAGAACAATCCTGTCAATCACAGGGTAACAAAGGCGATTGAAAGAGAAGTACCCATGAACATAGAAGAGCGTGTAGAGCTTCCTGGGGTCCTTGAGGCAGGCGCGAGTGACAGACAGCATCCCGGACGAGCACACAGTGAGCGGCTCCATGGCGAAATAACCAGAATCCGGGAGCTGAGAGAAGAGGCGCTCCATGCTGCGCCGGCAGCCCACGCACGGCACCGACTGAGCGAGAGTGCTGAAGAAGTCACGGGACATCACCATCAGAGCCACACTCAGATGCTGCAGCGTCAGCATTTTGTAATGCTAGAGGAAAGTCAACATTAATGATTTGTACGTTTTATTTACAAAGCGTTGAGTGCATTTCTCATCTCTTTCTATTTCTAGTTCCCACAACAACACAATATTTCAACTGTGATGTACACAGAAACATCCCAATCAGTGAACCCTTGATGTATAAAAGAGAAAGTGCTTTTGTGTACCTCGATAAACAGCTTCATTTGTGAACTGTTCATGTGATGGCTGTCGAAGTCCAGATTACTGTCAGGGAACTCCATCACCATCTACAAACCAGGAGCAGAGTAAGAACAAACTCACGCTGCCCTAAACACAAGTTTGGACTTTGTATAGATGCATTAGACGTACCGTGAGGGTTTGGTCGATGTACAAGGGAATCTGGCGTGCGCGATAAACATAGTTCTCTTCTCCATCCCTGCAGACAGCCACGAGACGTGCCATGTCTTCACCTGGACCTGCCTGTGAGCGCATGGAAACAAGCGTTCCGTTACACACTCAAGTTATTGATGAACTCTGTTCTTCTTCCTCTCCATGGCGGCAGGTTCTAAATGCATGCAAGAAACCACATTGTTTGAAGCACTTTGCATGAGGCTCCTGATCCATTCTTCCATGTCATGGCCTGGCACAGCCAAATTAAAATATATCAGTATCAGTTTTTCAGGGCTCTTTTTAAGCTACACCAAAACTGCCTCGTTCAGTTTGGTTGAACCATGCTAGAGTCGCTTCTCTTTTGCTGCGGGTCAGTGAGAAAGCAGCAAACACTTCAAGCTGGAGGAGGTGGTCTCAGTACACTACCAAGTGAACTCTGAGGTGAGTCATTTGATTCATTGCAGCTTGTGGATAGATTTGAATCCTTAAAGAAATTAGTAAATCTTTCTAACATTCACAAGGACACTGCCATTTTCATCCTTGTTCTCGCAGAAACAGCCAAATACAACTTGTGGACGCCTCCTTCTGAAGTCCCTTAAGATGCATCTTCCCCCTTAAAGTGAGTTAAACACTGTATTCAAGTTTTCCTGTGGCTCAGTCAGTACAGCTTTGCGCCAGCAACACAAAGGTCATGGGTTCACGACCCAGGGAAAGCAACAACTGAAGTAATGTGGTCTTTCCTTGAAATGTAAGTTGCTTTGGATAAAAGGGTCAATAAATTATCATCCTGTTAACTTATGAATGAAGTGTTAATGGTTGATGTGGACGTCATTATTGTGGTTCATTTTAACTAGTGTGGTGTGAAGAGGATCCAAAAACATCAACAAGATGGAACACATTAGTTTATGCTTCTGGAACTCACGAAACAAAGCACAGCTGTGACAGTAGCAGGATTGTTATGCATATGACAGACTCTTTAACAGGCAGCCAAATACACAATCACCATTAACATGTTTTTAACTAATATTTCATCACGAGTTACGTAAATACAAAGTTCTGTTTATAGATGTATACTATCTTAGGTTGCGTTCCAAAGGACAGCGAGAGAATGGATAAATCAAAATAATATATTTAGGCTAAGTTCGCCTTTGTGGAACGTTAATCATCTCTAAATTACAAAGAAACCTTGTCGCACCTCATCAGCCATTTGTAGCTTCTTTGCTAAGGATTAGCAGCTTATACATCTGACTAGAGGCTTAAACACATGCTCTACACCCAAATATGATTAGAACACTCGTATACATGCCCTATATACGCACAGACATTCATTACACTGTAGTAAAAGTATCAAATGAACATAAACGCTTCGTATAATTAGAGGAACAACACTAATGAGGTCAAGCCAAGCGTTGTGTGCGAACTCTTTACGCAGCTTAACGTCAAACGTATATTTTAATCTTTCCGATAACTAAACGCGTACTTCTTGCATTTATAGAAATAATGACTGGCATTCTGGTCGTCATGGCGACAGTTATATCATCCGCGGCGCAATAAGTGGACTTCTCCCTCCAATGACACAAATGCTAGCTAGCTCGTAGCAAACACGTTCGCACCTGTAAGTCGACAAGGTTTTATTCAATTTCAATACAGATATGAGACTAATAAATTACTTTTGATTAATATCGAAAAAATGTAACGTTAGCAAACTAGGGTAATTTTGAGAGTTAGCATAGTGCTAATCTGCGGAACACTGGCAAGCTGATTAGCATGCTAATTGATAATGTAACTTTGTGGCGTCAATAACTAGTAAGGGTAGCACTGCTGCTTGAAAGAAAACAAATACATGTTGCATTATCATCTTTAACAGAGTTAATAAGAAGCCAAAATCCCCCGGACTTGTGTGATCTAACGTTACTTTAACGGAGGGAGCGTACGTCATTGATGATCCATTCCGGTTTTATCCAGTCCATTAGGATAAGAAATATTAACACGACTTAAAGACTATATAAACAGCAGGCTGCAGCTGTAGAACTTACCCGATACCGAAAGCTGCTGCTCTTTAGAACAAAAACAAACAAGTGCGACAGCGGAATATGTGGCAAGCGCTTCTTCGATGACCCTTGGCCCCTTTACACGTCACAAAGTACTTCCGGTTTAAAAACGTAACTTTAACGTGATTTATTTAATATTACGGGGGTTATCTTAAAGCTCATGGTAAATGTACAATAAAAATTGTATATATTATGTTGTAAAAAATGAATACATAAAAATAATTCAGCAAACGTCACAAACTGCAGCAAAATTACAAGTTCTATTGAGAATTTATTTTAGATTATAACATGGAAGGTGTATAAGAGACAAATCTTTTCTTTGGCAAAGGTTAATACAGTACATGTGTTTATTAGTTATGTTACATGTGGGTTGGTTCTATTTAAAACAATGCACAAATCTGTAACACTTTATAAATAGAAAATGTACTTTTTTAATAGGAAACTTGTTGATGCATTGATCTGAAAGGCTACTGGTCTGATCACATTCAATGTTCTATGCTAAGCTAAGTGCGCTAGCATCAGAACCTAAGGCTTTTAGAATGATGTCATGAAAATAATAGTTGTGTTACTTTACTACGCTGTCATAGCCAGAAATTGATACAATTACTTGTTTTGGTTCCTTTTGTATTCTCGTATTCAAATGTTTGTGAGAAAATGGTTAGGTTGAGTCCCAGAAAAACCAACAACCTACTAGCTGAGTGAGCACGGTTGAACTCAATCGAGAGTTGGAAGAAATAGGGATGTTATCATTGTACATAAAATGTTGTTTTATTAAGAATAAACCTGCCAGGAAACTTGAAATCTTTTCAGGAATGTTCTGTGGTTGACAAAAGACGCTAATGAATGTAATGAAGATGGCAAATTGTTACCAGAACTTGATGGTTATTTTATTGACATGCAAAACAAACATGACCAAGCTGTTCATGAACATATAACAGAGCAAAACACTAACTGCCAAAGCATCACTGCTGTTTAGAGTATCCACTAAAACATTGGTCAAACCAGTCAGAATATTAGCCAACATAAAATACAATAATTGATTCCTATTAACGGCCTGAATGAGGCACAATGCATCCATACTCTTTCTCAGTTTCTCATCAGTGTAATACGGACACCACGATGTCGGCACAAGGGAAAAATGAGAAATGGTTTTAGCAAAAAGAAGCGTTAAATCTGCAATGCTTATGCAAGCGAGAAAAAATAGTGCTTGTGCAATAGTCCAGATACAGAAGGAAAGGTTGGCCATTCTGCGAGACACTGGTTCTATACTTGTCTGACTCAGGTATAACATGCAAAACAACCCAAAGCTGGCTTGTAAAAGATTACAAATCACTGCAATCCAGTCTTTAACCAAACGTCTTCTTTGCATCAGGTAATGTCCAACCTGAACACCCGCCATGTATACAGCAACGTAACCCACGGTTGAAAATATTCCTTCTCGGTTTGCCTGCAAAAAACCTGAGCGCTCATTGCAGTCGATGAGAAACCACTTCAGATCAGTCGTCTCCAGCATTACTTGGTATGAGCCTGCAATGAGAAGAGCGAGGAGCCACGAGGAGTGCACTGGAAATAGAGTCAGGAGAGCCGAAGATACCACTCGGACGATGGCTAAGGTGAAGAAGAAGTTCCAATGAACTCCATACTCGCTCACATGCTCATGATATCCAGATGATTTCACACTCGCAAGCCTCACGATCCCTAAAAGAACCAAAGGCCAGACTGAAACAAGTTGTTTTAACACATGGCTGAGTCTTGAGCCTTGAAAGTCCCTTCCTCGGGCTTCAGGGCTCACAAGAGCATTGGCAACAACATACGCCCCAACACCAAAGTCCATTACACCTGTTCCGTACGTCTCTGTCTTTGCGTAGCGCCTTGGAAAAATGCTAAAATCAACAGCTAGGATACTTATGGCAGTTTTTACATTGATTAGTACTCGAAAAACAGTAATGAAAGGAACCACATTGGATTCAACCTTGCTTTGGATGAGTTCATTAAAGGAGGGTCGATGCTTCCCATTCTTGTATATAAGATACAACACAACAGAGTTTATTAAAGCTATTCCAATGATGACGAAGTGAAGAATGTCGCTGAGCACAGTACACGACAGAACCAATGGCGTTATGATTAGACCAAAGTCCAAAAGGAGATGCAGTCTCTGAGATAAAGGGAGAATCCCTTTTCCCAAATGAACAGTGATCAGTAGAAGTCCTCGGCTCAGAAAACAGAGAGGGGCTAAGAGGGACCCCAGGGAAACCTCCATTAGCGTCGTCCCATTGAGGTTGCTCACAAATGCGATCTTTCCTTCTGATGACGCCATGGTCTGCCTGAAAAATCAGAGGAGTGAACATTAAAACTCTAACAGTTGCTGAACACAGAGAGGTACAAATACAGAGCTTTTCCCCTGAAAGACACCAACAGTTTGCACAGTTCAGCAGGTGAGATAAAGGTGATACAGCTGCCTCTAAAAACCTGCCGTGAGAAAAGACAAGCACCGTTCGTTGCACAAGGCCTCAATGCTTCATCACATGTAAACATTAGGTGTCATCACTTGATGACAATTCTAACTTCTTCACCGAGAGTCACTACGTAGTAATGAGATTCTTTTTTAATTATTCATGACACGCCTCCTCTAATTAATAAATGTCAGTCTACCGAGCCCACCCCATGTCTTTGTGTGACATCTCACTCTGAGCTGCAATCAAAACTTGAGAACCTAATCCTCTGCAAGCGCCAATGTGAAAATTAACTAAAGACATTTTGATCTGTTTGATTATGCTGATTGATTAATGGGATGAAACGGATCAAGAAAATGCAAACACAAGCATGGACAAAAATAGAGATAAGCAAATTCTACTTTAGTTTAAGTCACCTACCTCAAGGAAGGAGTTGTTTTAGTAAATAAAGCAGGTTAGACTGGATCAGTGAACACCATTTCTATAGTGGCGTGTAAGCGGTTTAACGGACTGTTTGTTATTTTATATTCGTCTTATATTTTAATTAACCAAAAATTAAAATCAAGTATTATTATTTTAGAACGAAGTATCGTCTCACGTTGAAAATCATTATCTTTCTTTTCCGTGTTAGGCGTGGCTTCGTGTAATACGTCAGCCTATGGGCGGGGTTTGAGATTTGCGTTGTGACGTCGAGAACGTGTCAGTGCTTGTGAGCGCGGTTGGGAGTTTTGTCCTTCACTCTGGAATTTTTACAGTTATTATAAAATGTTAACATAAAGAGTTTGATTATACAGAGGCACGTGGAAAGTGTTTATTTAAGTTGAGGAACATGGCGGATGTCCAGCTGAAGCTTTTATTAAGAAATAAAGACATTTCGACAGTTAACAGCTCTGACGGGACGTCGAGGAGTTTGGGAAAAACTGAAAAGCCAAATCGACTGAAGGAAAAGGTTCAATTTATTTGTATTTTTTGTAGCTCTTTATAAGATTTATGTCATTTACTAGACTTGTGAAAACTCACTCTTTAATTTTGTAATTTTATTACAAATCAGTTTATTACTGATTTTAAAATATAACTTTTTTGTTGTCAAGTTAACGTAATAAAGGTAATTTTAGCATAATTAGTAATAACAGTATAAATTAATAACGCTTTACTTATTGCTCTTAAGAAATTACTTAACGTACTCTCTCCAAATCAAAGTTTAATCAGATT